GTTGCTAATAAGCCTTCCCCCAATCCTGGTGCCACATTCTACATATAATCCAGGTTCTCTGATGATTTTCTCAGCATACAGATTGAGCAAGTATGATGAAAGATACAACCACGACACACACCTTCCCTGTTTGTTTTTTTACCTTTCCTGTTTTTAAACCATGCAGTATTTTCCTGTTTTGTTTACACAACTGCCTCTTGATCCATGATGGGCACAAGAAGTGTTCTGGAATTCCCATTCTTCTCAAAGTTATCCAGAGTTTATTGTGGTCCACACAGTACAATGTCTTAACATAGTCAATAAAACACAATAAATATCTTTCTCTTATTTTCTGTTTTGAGCCAAGATCCATCTGACCTCAACCCTTGTTCCACATCCTCTTCTGAATCTGACCTGAACTTCTGGCAGCTCTCTGTTAATGCACTGCTGCAAACCTTACATGATCTTTAGTAAAAATGTACATGTGCTATCAACGATAGTGTTCTATAATTTGAGCATTCTGTTGGGTCACCTTTGGAATGAGTACAAACGATGTATATAATGTATATCTTCCAGTCAGTTGGCCAAGTAGCTGTCTTCCAAATTTCCTGGCATAAAGTGAGTACTTCAATATGATTCATCAGCTTGCGGAAATATTTCAATTGATACGCCATCAATTTCTGGAGCCTTGATTTTGGCTAATGTATTCACTTTGTGCACCTTGCAGATCCAAGGTTCAATGCCCCAGTGTTCTATGACACATGCCCTGGGTCCCCAGTGAGTGTCTAGAAACTTGGACCAATGTGGCTTATTAGGAACATATTACTAGACATCTTTCCCCCCTTTGGGTCCTTAAAAATATTGTTAGTGATTTTTTCCTTGGAAGTGGATTCTTCCTCCTTTTCTACCAACAGACATGCACTTGTCTTCTCCAAGGCATATCATATAATTCAATAGTTTAAACATATTAAAAAGAGATGTGCAATCATCACCACAATCAATATTAGAACTTTTTTTGTACTCACTATCAGCTCCCCATTTCCCACCAATCTCGTCATAATCTCAAGAACCTATTAATCCAGTCACTGTCTTGATAGATTTATTTATCCTGGAATTTATATAAAGAAAAACATACAAAAACAAAAGGAAGGGGGAAAAAGAATCCCCCAAATCAACAATAATAACAAATAAAACATTGGAAAACCTTAGTTGAAAAGGTAACAGAAAATAATAAAAACTAGAACAAAATTTAAGTGGGTCAAAAGGAAAAATGATAACTTGTTAAATTTTAACCTAATGACATCTACATTACTCCCCTTTCCAATGCAACTCTTGTCTGATAGCAAGGCTATTTCCATCCCTGGTCAGTGGTCAGAGGGGGTTTAGCTGAGGCTTATTCTAAGTGGGGACCCTGCAAATTGATTTTAGGCGTTCACTATCAACCATAGCACTCTGCAAACTGCGTGCTAAGAATTTACACTGAACACCATTCCCTCTTCTGGTCTTGGATTTTATTGTTTTTAAATTTGCATTTTATTTTTTTGTTAATTGGGATTAATACATATTACCATAATCAGTTTCCAAATATTCTTTTCTTTATGGAACCCTTGTACCCTTCCACCAACCCCAAATCCTTGCTATCAGTAGAGGCTCAAGCAGACTTTCCTCTTTTCAGAAGGAAGAGGGGTTGGCCTTTTCTTGAAGGATCTCCAAGAGGTTTGTCTTGTTGGCTCTGTGGTGGTAGCAGTTTTTAGTTAGGGGAACTACCTCTTCATTGTAGAAGACCTTTTATTTATTTTTTACAAATAACTGATTAACAACAACAACAACACAGGTTTTACATTCTAAAAGAGTTTTGAACCAGGATCAAATCAGACATGGGGCTCCCCATGAGGTCCTTGTAGAAGACCTTTTGTAGGACTTCCTGTCAATAGCCCACAGTTAGCAAGTGAGGGAAGGGTTGTCACACTGAATGGATGCTCAGGGAGGACTTCCTTTTTGATAATCAGAGTTGCCGTGGTAGTATGTTGGCTGTCTGTGTAATATCCATTCAATATGTCTGCATCCCAGTGCACAGAAGCCTCAGTCAGCAGATCTCAGTCCCAATTGAAAGGAGAACAGACAGACCCAAAGTGACCCCCCCCCAAAGGTCTGTCCTTTTGGTTACAGAGGCCTGGGTTCTTTGATGGGCAGAGAGCCAGGTACAGTGCCGACTGTGGGAGCAGACCAATGAAGGGACCTTCTATAGCAATTTGCAATAGCCTGACAATCATCAGTTACCAAGTGGGGAAAGGGTGTTACACTCCGATCAAATTCCCACAGAAGTCTGCTTTGTTGCTATCAGTGCCACCCCCGGGCCAGCCCTGAATAGATTGTTGACTGTGAGTACAGCTTCCACTCCAGACATCTGCTTTCTAGCACACAGGAGCATCAGTTACCAGTTCTCAGCACCAGTCAGAAGTGGGGTCAGGTGAACCCAAAGTGACTCCGAGGGAGTTTTGTCCTGTTTTAGAGACCTGAGCTATGGTGTACTGGTAGGCAGGGAGGAGTGTTGACTTTGGGTTGCCACTGACAATGCCCAGATGAAGGGTTTATTATGCTCTAAGCAGTGGTTCTCAACCTGTGGGTCTCGACCCCTTTGGGGGTCAAACGACCCTTTCATGGGGGTTGCCTGATTCATAACAGCAAAATTACGGTTATGAAGTAGCAACGAAAATAATTTTATGGTTCGGGGGTCACCTCAACATGAACTGTATGAAAGGGTCGTGGCATTAGGAAGGTTGAGAACCACTGCCCTGGAGGAAGACAGAAATCTTGGTACAGTAGAAGGGCAGCAAAAGAGAGGCCACCCCTAAAAGGTGGAATAACACAGTAGTTCAAACAATGAGCGCAAGCAAAGAACCATCGTGTGGATGGCAGAGGAGGGGGAAGCGTCTCATTATATTGTGCACAGAGTTGCTGTGAGCTGAAACCCACTCGAGAGAACCTAACAAAAATATCTAAAGGACGTGTGCTTCTAACAATATGGTGAAGTAGATCTTTTTTTTTTTAACCATTGTATTAGGGGCTCATACAACTCTTATCACAATCCATACACACATCAATGGTGAAGTAGATCTTAAGAGAAACTTCTCTTAGTTTAGAGCAATGGTTCTCAATCTATGGGTCGCGACCCCATTTGGCGGTCGAATGACCCTTTCCCGGTGGTGGCCCGATTCATAACTGTTGCAAAATTACATTACGAAGTGGCAATGAAGATGATTTTATAAGTGGAAGGTCACCACTACATGAGGAAGTGTATGAAAGGGTCGAGGCATTAGGAAGGTTGAGAGCCACTGCAAGTCTGAAGAAACCCTCAGGGAGCTCTGCCTTACAGCTCTGTAGTATGTTGGTGATAGGTGTAGCCTCCACTCAAGATGTCTGCTTCCTAGCACACAGCTGCTTCAGTCAGCAGTCCTTAGCACTGACCAGAAGGAGGAGCCAACAGACCTGAATTGACTCCCTAGGAGTTGAGTCTGCCTGGTTTCAGAGGTTTAAGCTGTGAGGTGTGCAGGGAGTGGGTGTTCACTGTTGGAGTAGGCTCCACTGCGGGCCTTGTGTAGCAATTCACAGCAGACTTGCAGCTGACAGTGTCTTGGTGGGGGGATGCTGTCACACTCCCAACAGACCTTGGAAGAGGTCTGTCTTGTTGATTTTAGATTGGGGGTTTGGGATTCTTTCTCTTAAGCGGGGGTGGTGGTGGTTAGGGAAGAAATCTCACTTGTTGGAACTACCCTAGTTTTTAGCATCTTGACTAGGGGACGGACATGCATGATGGGAGAAGTGATTTTCCTACAGTGTATGTCGAGTTGTTGGTTGGTTGGTTCTTACTTGTCTGTAGTTAGTTCCTTTCTGCTTTCTTTTTTTTTGCCACAGAAAATGATGAATTAAGCATAAATTTTATTTCCAATTTTCTCAAAGATTATCACAAATACAAAATACCCTTTGAAAAGTATCCCAAACCGAATCAAAGGAATTTAAAACAATGCCAAATCTGCTTCAGACAGAAGATGGGGCAGCCTAATATACAACACAACACAACTCTTTCCAGCGAGTCTGAGAAGAAACAGCTCCTCTGTTTAGTGTTAAAAATAAAGCTCTTGGTGTAGAAAAATCAAGACATCACTTAGTAAGGCCTGTTCTTCCTCAAATCTTTACTCAGGCAGTCCTTCTGATTATGAACTTCTGACTTACCTACTATTAGAGCCCACTGTTACAACCCAATTCTTATGAAGCCTATTATACTAAAAATACAAGGTACATACAATGGTTCATGATAACAAGTAGGACTACTTTACAATGTGCATCAAAGCATTATTATTATTATGTTTTACTATTTTATTATGTCAAAGATGCTTTATTATCTGAAAGTGTTTCTTTAATGTTTTTATACATAGAAAAGTGCACTATATACTAAGACAAGCAATTGACCAAGCAATGTTAGACATGAACCTAACTGTTCCGACACAGATAAAATGCAACTTGAAGACCAGACCTAGGAATGGAATTCGTTCAAAATCTGGGGACTGCCTATACTTGCTTATCTTCATTTAGAAATGCGAAAAGAAATTTTGGTATGGTATAAAAACCTTAGGGAAAATTATAAATATTCCATTTGAAAAATAAACAGAAATATTTTCCTCATTAAAATGTAAATATCCAATAAATAAAACATACATGGTACTCCAGGCATAGAAAAAACAATAATTCCCTTGTGAAAAAGGTGTATTTGGGTAAGTTTGATGGCAAGCTTTTTGTTTGTCTTACGTGTAATGCACTTCGCCAAAAGAACCAGGCCATTATTCTGTAAAGATGTGCTCTTTCTTAACTGAATAGAAATACATCAATTCCTATACAATTTTGGCTATAGTACCAGGCCACAGGAAAGGTCTCACAGAGCTGAAAGTTGTTTGGCTAGAGAAAATGTCTTGCGACTTGGAGGCAGGCAGTCATCAATTTGTACTTGAAGCATTCCTCAGCGAACTTCTTCTTTCCTAGTCTTCAGAGTAAAGTGCAGGATCTGGGCTCCCGGAAGGGGTTGCTTCCTGCTGGAACCCCGACCGGTAGGGCATCCTTGCAGGCGTTCTGCATGCAGTACTGTTGAAGCTCTGCAGCTGCCTGAGAAATCTTGATCCTCTCCACACTGGCTTCCAACTTCAGCTGCTCCACCAGGCACTGCAGGGCGTTTATGCTGGGCCTGGAAGACATGGCTGCAGCGGATCCGAGGGGTGTGTGCAGGGACTGCCCGACCCCTTCTGCTTTCTTATGTTACCTGATTTAGAGTTAGTTCCTCAAAGTTGAGCATGATTTTTTGGTTGTAGTTTTGGGGAATAGGTCAAAACAATGGTCTGTTAATGCCACTCTATTTCCAGTATCCCCCAGAAAAATGGGTTTAAAAATGCTTTTGAGGCTTTCAGCATGTTACAAGAGGAGTGTATTAATCAAACACGTTGAACTAGGAATATATTTGTGTCAGTCAGATGGACATTTGAATCTTGTCAGTTCAGAATGGGATCTCGAGAGGGTGAGCGAGCCCATCAGCAAGTATAGTTGTCATGCACTTTTGGAGGCCAACTCCTGTTGAGGTGGAAACTCTGGGCTCACATCTATTAGAATGTGTAAGGAGTTAAGAGTAAAAGGGTATGAGTGGATCTTTGGGGCATACCCTTGTATAAGCAGTTAGAAAAAGAGCCAATGAGTTTCTAAAGTCTCTCTTGACATTATATATATATATTTCTTTATGTATTTGCTAAGCTACATAAAACCTCTGTTAAATTTACCTGTTTAGGAGCTCTGTGTGCAAAATACCTGGATGTTTCTTGCTTGACCTTGAGAAATCAAAACAGTATTCTGGAAAGAAGTTCAAGAAAAATAAGGATGAGCTGGTTCAGAAAATCTACAATCTCTTTAATAGTTCTGTCTTTGATAAAAAGGTAAGATCAATACATGAGTATTTTTGAAACTTGCTATATGCCCAACACTCTAAGGAACAATGCTAACCATGCACATTTTCACTTAAGAAGTATTGATTTCAAATGCAAGTGGGTGATGCTGCCCCCTGGGAGGCACTGGATCAATCCAGGGGGCACTGCAAAAGCAGATACCTACATTTTATCCTGGATTATGGGCTATTGTGCAAAAGTTTTTAATTGACTCGGGGAACTACGTAATTTTTTTCTTATGATTTAGCCAGGAAGATGAGACATATACATATGAAAGGTAGAACCATTTTTACCACAGGGGATCAGCAAACTGAAAAATTACTGAGAGTCTGAGGCGGCAAGAAAGAAGCTTGCTGGAGGAAGTGAGACTGTTTCTAATTCTTGAGCCAGCAGTCAGACCAACAATGATGGGGAGAGGGTATATCTTTAGACTGGACTATCGGGAAAAGATGATTCATGCTAAATAATAATAAGAAAGAACTCTGTGACTTGGAATTTAACCTCAGTTTCAGTTTCCTCATCTGTAAAATGGAGACAGTAACAGAATTATTGTTGGATTTAAGTAAGTTAATAGACATACAGTGCTTACTTAAACCATTGGCCAGGATGTAGTAAGTGACGTGTTACCTATTGCTATATTTGATAGAGTAGGCCCAGATAATGGGGGCCCTAGAACATCAGATAGGAGGAGCTTAAATTTAAATCAGCAGGCACCACCACACCAAAAAACTCACTACCATGGAGTCAATGCTGACTCACAGCGACCTTATAGGACAGGGTAGAACTGCCCCTGTGGGTTTCTAAGACTGTAACTTAAAAAAAAATCTTTTTATTGGGAGCTTATACAGCTCTTATCACAGTCCATCCATCCATCGTGTCAAGTACATTTGTACATTTGTTGCCATCATAATTTTCAAGACATCTTCTCTCTAATGAGCCCTTGATATCGGCTCTTCATTTTTTCCCCTCCCTCCCTCATGAACCCTTGATAATTTATAAATTGTTATTATTTTTTCATGCTTTACACTGACCAATGTCACTCTTCACCTACTTTTCTGTTGTCTGTCCCCCAGGAAGGGGGTTATCTGTAGATCATTGTGATAGGTTCCCCCTTTCTCACCCCACCTTGACCTTACCCTCCTGGTAGTGCTACTCTCATTATTAAGATAGGAACTCTTAATGGAAGCAGAAAGCCTCATATTTTTCTTGCAGCGTGGCTGCTGGTTTCGAACTGCTGACCTTAAGGATTGTAGCCTAACATGTAATCACCACCAGGGCTCCTTAGTAGGCATCATGGCATAAGGATTTGATGGGACTTGGAGTGGCTGTTGAAAGAGATTGATCTGACAGCATGGGATCTGGTCTGGGTTGGAAAGAATCATGAGGTTATGATTCTTTTTGGTTACACAGCTTTTTAGGCTGTTGTCTCTGGTGACAAAATTTTCTGCTAGAAATGTTCTTTTTCTATTAAAAGATATAGCGTCTAGGGTCTTAAAGACTTGAAGGTAAACAAGCGGCCATCTAGCTGAGAAGCAACAAAGCCCACATGGAAGAAGCACACCAGCCTGTGTGATCACGAGGTGCCAAATGAATCAGTTATCAGGCATCAAAGAACAAAAAAATCATCATTGTGTGCTCACCTTCCCGATACGATAGCTGAAGACAAATGTGTGCATAAGCAAAAGTGGTGAAGAAAGCTGATGGTGCCCAGCTATCAAAAGATATAGCGTCTGGGTCTTAACGTCTTGAAGGTAAACAAGCAGCCATCTAGCTCAGAAGCAACAAAACCCACATGGAAGAAGCTCACCTGTGGTTGGAAGGGGTGCCAGCCCCCCACCACTAATCACAGGTTCGATAGGCACAATTGTACGGTTGAGATATATGAATATTATATTGAAGTCATCGAGCGCATGAGATGGAAGAGATTGAAATAATGGAGTCAGACACATTTCACAGAAGTATTGCTCACCTCAGCCCCGCTTGGTGGTCCACGTGGAGAGAGGGGGAAGGGAAGGAGGGCAAGGGGAAAGGGAACAGGGAAGCGAGGACGGGAGAGGTCAAGGGGAGCCGAGACAGAGGGATTTCTCTATTGCTAACCCAGGTCTTTATACCTAGATAGAGGATGGCAGCCTAACTTTGGATGTCACCAGCCGGTTTGACTTGTTCCCTGGATCTCCATAGGAACTATTATCAGTAGGGTGTGAACCCCACCTACAGAAACCAAGCTAATGGTCACAAGCCTCAAGGAGAAGTAGTCCATTGTCCCCAGCAGCAGGGTTCAGCCTCCCCCCCCCCATGAGACAGCAGTCTGGCAGCTGATTGCCTTAAGGGAAATAACTTTTACCATTAGCTGCAAGCAGTGTCCTAAGTCTGACATATTTGGGGGAGAAGACTTTGGAGAAATCTTCCTGTTTTCCACACTCACCAGCCTGTATGATCATGAGGTGTTGAAGGGATCAGGTATCAGGCATCAAAGAACAAAAAATCAAATCATTGTGAATGAGGGGGAGTGCAGATTGGGGACCCAAGACCCATCTGTAGGCAAGTGGACATCCCCTTATAGAAAGGTCGTGGGGAGGAGACGAGTCAGTCAGAGTGCAGTGTAGCAACGATGAAACATACAACTTTCCTCTAGTTCCTAAATGCTTCCTCCCCCCACCCCCGCCCCCCACTATTATGATCCCAATTCTACCTTATAAATCTGGCTAGACCAGAGGATGTACACTGGTACCGATAGGAACTGGAAACACAGGGAATCCAGGACAGATGATCCATTCAGGACCAGTGCTGAGAGTGGCGATAGAGAGAGGGTAGAGGGAGGGAGGGGTGGAAAGGGGGAACCGATTACAAGGATCTACATATAACCTCCCTGGGGGATGGACAACAGAAAAGTGGGTGAAGGGAGATGTCGGACCTGTAAGACATGACAAAATAATAATTTATAAATTATCAAGGGTTCATGAGGGAGGGGGGAATGGGGAGGGAGGGGAAAAATGAGCTGATACAAGGGCTCAAGTGGAAAGCAAATGTTTTGAGAATGATGATGGCAACAAATGTACAAGTGTGCTTGACACAATGGATGGATGGATGGATTGTGATAAGAGTTGTACGAGCCACCATAAAATGATTTAAAAAAAGAAAAGTTCTCAGTGTGGTGGAGTCAGATGGGCCACAATTCCTGCATTGTGTCTCCAGTGGCTGTAGCCCCAGTGCTGTCCTCTGAAGTGCACTCTTCTGAGCGGTGGGGGCTGTCCACATAGTTGAGATTGAGGCCCTGCTCCTCAGGCCTCACTATTGGTTCCCTGGTACATGCCAGTATGTTGTATTCATGTCTTGGCTCATCAGGTTGAAGCCTGGTTTCCTTTTTCCTCTCCTGTGGAGATATAAACAATACCCTCCCCTTGGGTGGGCTAGTGCCCTGCCTCCCCCCTCCCCATGACTCTTCCCCCCTCATTCTTACCCCCACTTATTTATTCTATAGCGATATGTATCCCTGGATTGGGTTTGGCCCCTGCCAAAGTTGCTGGACCTCACCCCAGGGGTGTATGTGTATATAGCAGCTTTTCCCCTGTGCCCCATTTTTTTTAAGCTTACCTCAGTGGACTCATGTTGTACTTGTCCTTTTGTGCTTGGCTTACTTCACTTGCATGATTTCCTCTAGTTCTTTCCAGGTGACAATGTGCTTCATGCATTCGTTGCTGTTTTTTAGGGGTGTATAGTACTCTATTATATGTATGTACCACAGTTTTTTGATCCATTCATCTGTTGATGGAAATTTGGGTTGTTTCTAACTCCTTGCAATTGTAAACTGTGCTGAGATGAACATTGGAGCACAGATGCATGGCCATGGTTTGTTTCTTGCCTTTTCTGGGTATATGCCCAGTAGGGGGATTGCTGGGTCGTATGGTAGCTCAATTTCCATCAGTTTTAGATATTGCCAAATTGATTTTCATAATGGTTGGGCATACTTACAGGTCCACCAGCAGTGGACCAGACTTCCTATCTCCCCACACTGCCTCCAACACTTGTTATTTTCTGAGTTTTTTTATTGGACTATCTTTGAGGGTATTAGGTGGTATCTCAGAATTGTTTTAATTTGCATTTTTCTTATGGCTAATGATCGGGAACAATTTTCTCATATGTTTAGTGGCCATTTGGATTTCTGCCCCTGTGAAACTTCTGTTCAGGTCCTTTGCCCACCTCCTTAGTCGGCTTTTAGTTTTTCTTATTGTAAGCTTACAAAGTATTGTAGATTTTAGTAATAAGACCTTTGTCTGATGTGTCATTGCTAAAGATGTTTTCCCCATCCGTGGACTCTCTTATTACTCTCTTGGTGAATTCTTTCAATGTACACAGGTGATTTATCTTCAGTATATCCTACTTGTCAATTTGTGACTCCTCTGTATTTGTATCCTTCCCTATTTCTGAAAGCCTATGTATTCCCTGTGCCAAGGTTCTCAGGTTTGTCCCAAATTCCCTCATTAATGGCCCTAATAGTTTGGGGTTTTATCTCAAGGTCTTTGATCCACCTTGACTTTATTCTTGTGCATAGAGTGAGGTAAGGGTCATGCTTCATTTTTCTGCAGGTAGATATCCAATTTTTTCTATCACCACTTATTGAAGAGGGCATCTGCTTCCCATTTGATATTTTTTGGGGGCCATTATAAAAAATCAGTTGTCTGTATGCTGATGTTTTTATTTCTGGGTTTTCAGCTCTTTTCCATTGGTCTGAATATCTGTCATTATACCAGTCCTACACTGTTTTGACCACTGTGGCTGTATAATATGTGCTAAAGTCAGGTAGAGCAGGCCCTCCCACTTTGTCCTTCTTCTTGAGGAGTTCTCTGCTAATTCTGGGCTTCTTCCCGCGACATATAAAGTTGGTAATCTATTTTTCCAATTCTTTGAAGAAGGATGATGGTATTCATATTGGGATAGCATTAAACTTACATAGTGCTTTGGGCAAAATTGACATCTTGGCTATATTGAGTTTTCCAATCCACAAGCATGGGATGTTCTTCCATTTGTTGAGGTCACTCTTGGTTTCTTGTAATAGTGTTCTCTTTTAATTTTTTTAATGGTTCCTCAGCTTCTGTGCCCCTCCTGATGACAGTGATGTGACATCAGATGACTGCTTAGTGGAAACTGAAGTGTTCTGAGTTGCGTGTTCAATTTTGCCTCACCACTCCTACATGTAAGCTAGTCTCCCACCTCAGCAGGCTGTTGCTCCAGACTATTTTGTCTCTATGCCAAATCAAACCAATCTCACCATCATCAGTCAATTCCAACTCATAGCGACCCTATGGACAGGATAGAACTATCCTAGTGGGTTTCTGAGACTATACCTCTTTATAGGAGTAGAAAACCCCGTATTTCTCCTGTGGAGCAGCTGGTGGTTTTGATCAGCTGACCTTGCAGTTAGTAGCCCCAGCACATAGCACACTATACCCCCAGGGCTCCTTCTGTCTCTGTGCAAGAGTGCACACATCCTGCTTTCACTTGATCTCAGAAATCTCTGTATGCCCTGATTATCTATTATTTGTCTCTCCTTGGGCTTCAACTTGACTTTTATTCAGCCTCGTCCTGTTTAGGTTTGTGTGCCTTTTGAGTAGATTTCTTCTCAAAATGAAACTTTTAAAAAGCTGAGAGTGGGGGAAAGAAAAAAGTTCCTTTTGTTATTTATTAGAGAGAGAAAAACTTGATATTTTCTCATATATGTAGAACTGTTTTCTTATTTATTCCCTTTGATTTTTGTTCTCAGCTGCCCAAGAAAATAGATATAGCCTGGAATAAAAAGATGCTTAAAACTGCCGGCATATGCACAACTGGTGAGATAAAGCACCCGAAGAAGCAGCGTTATGCCAAGATTGAGATTGCTCAAAAAGTCTGTGATTCTGCAGGTGATAGCAGAGGCAGGGCAACTTTACTTTCTGTGTGTTTTCCTTCTGCTACATTGTTACATTTCTCTACGATACTGATATTATCCAGCAGCCAGTATCATAAATTAAACGATTTTTCTATCTGTTGCTTATAGAACATTGAATACCTTACTGGCCTTGAAAATCCAACTTGGCAACCTTTTCTAGGCCTGTCTTCCCTTCTGCATTGCTCTAACCAAATTGGATGGTCATTGTGATTGCTCCCCACCCAGTACTCCGAAGGGCAGAAACCTTGTTACATATGGCTGTCCCACAAAAAGATAAGCACACTGGAGTTGTTCTGAAAATACTTGCTAAATATAGGTACTTGACCTAAGTAAGGCTCTCCGCTGCCATACTATGAATGAAATCAGGTTAAAGTAGGTGGAAATTTCAATTTTGAATCCCAGAAACTAAAACTAAAACTCATGCCTGTTTTCATGTTTGTGTAAATAATGTTGTATCTGGTCAGTTTGGGGGTAGCAGACTAGAAGAGAAATGGATAAAGTTCAAGCTTTCTTTTTCTTCCAAGACCGACTCCGGGATACTTTGGTCCATGAAATATGCCATGTAGCTTCCTGGCTACTTGATGGTACCCGAGATTCTCATGGTGACGCATGGAAGTATTATGCTCATAAATCCACTATGATACATCCGGAGCTGCCAAAGATCACCTGTTACCATAGCTACACAATTAACTACAGGATTCATTATGAATGCATTCAGTGTAAAACCAGGTAAGATCCTTCTCCTCAGACTTCTTCTGCTATTACTGCAATCTCCAAGTGACTCTGTAGTGATTTTATTCGGACTTGAGAGATAAAAACCACTATGCCCCTTTTCATGTTCTCTCTTTGCATTGTTTACCTCTAACTTGAGCCTACTTGACCCGTGCCCCTACTTGATATTCCACAGAAAATTTTTGATTTGAGTCCAAGGTCAACAGCTCAGAGACCATGTTGAGATCTATTAACTGATTGTTTTACATTTTTTTTTCATATATATGTGTGTGCATGGTATCTCTTTTCTTTCTAGGATTGGCCGCTACACTAGATCACTGAACACTGATCGCTGTATATGTGCTCATTGCAGAGGCCCTCTGGTTCTGCTACCCTTAACTCGCAAAGATGGAACCCCCATTGAGCCCTATGTGAGACCATTTGCTAAATATGTGCAGGAGAATTACAGACTTGTTAAACAGGAGTTGGGAGGAAAAGGCCATGGAGATGTGATGAAAAAGCTCAGCAAGGATTATATCGCAAGCAAACAAAAGCAAGGCTGTTGAGGTTATTGAGAGAAGATTTATATACGTAGACTCCTCTTGTTAGAAATATTTTTCAAAATCTCTTTGTTTCTGTCAATTAGCAAATATTATAAGTTCAATACTATTTGGGGGTTCATTTTGCTAATGATGATTGTTGTTAAGTAGGGATCCTATTGCTGAACATTTTGCAGCCTTGACAGTACTCTGGGGCCCTTTTGGAACCATTCTGGATGGATCTGTAGTTATAACGTGTAAAGTGCAAGCAAGCAGTGACTTTTTGGGAGTAGCAGGTGGAGAGAAGGAAAATAACACTGGAAAGAGAACGAGTTTTCCAAGGAGCACTGCAGAATCAGAACTGCTCTCAGAAGTAATCTGTTGCGGAATCTGGGAAATGAAGACAAACATGTTTCATTAATTTAGTTACTATTGACTTTGGATAAAGCCATCTGAGCCATGTAATTGTTCATTAAATAAAGCGTTTTGTGTACTTCGTTTGTTGCTAGAGTGTTCATTAAGTCCCTGTCCCAAGAACAGGAAAAGCACACATTGAAGAACCTGATACTTGCACATCTGAAGTGTTACAGGACACGTTTAAACATTCTCCATATTGTGTTTCTCCCTGGTCTCTGTAACAACCTGTGTATATTAGAAACCCCCCCCCTCTAAACTTCTAAGAGCTATCTAGACTGTAGATAGAAATCAACATTGTTTCAGTTTCCTGCTGCTGTTGTAACAGATTTCTATGAATCTAGTGGCTGAAAACCAAACACATTTATTCTCTTTTGGTTCTGAAAGTCAGAGTCTATCATGGGTCCCACTGGACAAAAATCAAGGTGTTGGGAGGGCTGTGTTACTTTTTGGAAGCTCTAGGGAAGAATTCAATCCCTTTTCATTTTCAGCTTCTAGAAGCCACCTGCATTCCTTGGGTCCTGGCTCCTTCCTCCCTCTTCTAAGCCAGTAACATAGCATCTCTGGCCCTACTTCTGTTGTTCCATCTCTTTCTCTGACTTTATCTTCTCTCCTGCTTCCTGCTTTCACTTTTAAGGACCTTTGTGGTTACATTCGGCCTACCTGGATAACCTAGGATAGTAGTATTTATTGGAAGAATTGAAATGAAATGGCCAGGTGATTATCAATGTAAATTCCTTTTTTTTTCATATATGCCAACATATTTACAAATTCTAGGGATTAGGACATGGGCATCTTTGAGGGACCATTTATTCTGCTTAGCATAAACATCTTTACTAGACCAGGATCACAGATAATTCTGCTTTTTTTTTAAATCACTTTATGGGGGCTCGTACAACTCTTATCACAATCCATCCATCCATCCATTGTGTCAAGCACATTTGTACATTTGTTGCCCTCATCATTCTCAAAACATTTTATTTTTACTTGAAACCTTGGTATCAGCTCCTCCTTTTCCCCTCCCTCCCTGCCCCCCCATGAACCCTTGATAATTTATAAATTATTATTATTTTGTCATGTCTTACACTGTCCAAAGTCTCCCTTCACCCACTTTTTTGTTGTCCATCCCCCCCGGAAGAGGTTTATATGTAGATCCTTGTGATCAATTCACCCTTTCTACCCCACCTTCCCCTTTCCCTCCTGGTATCACTACTCTCATTATTGGTCTTGAGGGGTTTATCTGTCCTGGATTCCCTTTGTTTCCAGCTCTTATCTGTACCAGTGTACATCCTCTGATCTAGCCGAATTTGTAAGGTAGAATTGGGATCATGATAGTGGGGGGGGGCATTAAAGAACTAGAGGAAAGTTGTATGTTTCATCGTTGCTATACTGCACCCTCCTTCCCGTGCGACCCTTCTGTGAGGGGATGCCCAGTTGTCTACAGATGGGCTTTGGGTCCCCACTCCGCACTGTCCCTCATTCTCAATGATATGAGTTTTTTTCTTTGATGCCTGATACCTGATTCCTTTGATGCCTCGTGATCACACAGGCTGGTGTGCTTCCTCCATGTGGTCTTTACTGATAATTCTTATAGGCATGTTATACAATTTCTTAAATATACTATGTGATCTCCCTTAATTTTGTAGATACTTGCATGTTCTTTTAGTAGCCCCAAAGCTGAAGCCTAACCACAGGTTGGATGGGATTGGGTGCTTGCATAATGTTGGAAGAGCTTCCCTAGCTAAATTCTCTACTTACTCTGCCCCATTGCTACCCCCAACTGATGTGCAGCTTCAGCAAATCCCCAGCTGGCATGTGAAACTGGACCACAGCACATCAGTGACTTCAGTATCGTGAACTGATGGTGCAGTGGATATGTCCCTGCAAGGTGGGGGGTGGGGGGTGTCTGCCCCTCTGCCTTAAATCAATAGCCCTGTCATCTGCCCTTCTGAGAAGCTGTGCATATTTCCTCCACTTACTTCAACCTCAGCTATAGCTATGGAAACATGCTCCCCACAGCCCACCCATGTTTCCAGGTGGCTCCCTTCTGTTTTCCTTTAATCCCCTAATAAGAGCTTGCATCACTTCTCACCTGAATAACCACTACAGCTTTCTGACTGATCTCTATGACACCATTGGCTGATTCCAAACCAACTTTGAGGCTTACCGTCTACCCCTTTCCTACCCAACTCTGGCCACTTGGGACCATTTATTATTCCTCCAGTTCAAACTGCATTGAATGTAATAACCAAAATTAGGCTTCAGGAATTGATGGAATATCTTTTCTCCTCTCGACCATTGCGAATACTTCCAGCTCTTTCAGGCCTGGTCAGTTCTGCCTTCAGCATGACTTCCCAAATGGCACAGTCCCCAAGCTTATGAGCCCCAGTGTTTACTGTCTATATGCTACTCATTTGTCTCATGATGAAGACTGCTTAATATTGTTACTTCGGGCCCCTTCCCCAAATTATGCCTAGACAATGTCTAGCCAAACCAACTGGCCAAGTGCCTGCTCTACATCAGTATGTGTTCTTCCCTGTGACTCAAAGGAATGCTGGGAGCACGGGGAAGACGGCAGGCAGATGTTCACTGAAGCAGGGTGGATTGGTCAAGACTCAGGGCCAGGCAGGGAGAAGTAGCAAGTATATTGACAGAGTCCAGGCCAGACTGGCAACAATGATGCACTCACACCCTGGTCCTGTCGAGTTTGTTTATTGGAAAGTTTTAAGCAGGATCTTAGACTTAAAACCAAGAATGAGTAAATACAGAGAGGTGTTAGGAATAATTGTTACAATTTTTACTGGGTAGGAAGTCTGGGCTAAGGGGGACTCTCTGTGTTGTTAGCATGTGGGGAAGGTCAAATTCCTGTTCCCGAATTAAAAGGGCAACAGGACTTTAGGTAGTAGGAGTGAGAGTGCCAATATTTCAGAAGGCCAACTACCGGGGAGATGGGCCAGTGCTGGGGCTATCAGCCACAGAGAGTGCTGTGTTGGTGGGGATGGGGGAAGGGCAAGGCTGTGGGGAGAGTCAGAGGCAGCCTAGCAGAAAGGGAGGGGAGGAGCCTGGAGTGTGCTGGAGTCAGCCTGGGTGGGTTAAAGGAAGCCCCCACTTCATAAACCCGAATAGGAGGCCTCTGTGATCTCTGACCAGGATGAATCCCGGTGGGAAGAAGGCTGCCGCTGGTGCCTCCTTTGCTTAGAGCAGCCCAGGTGCGTAAGCAGCATCCACATCCGTTCTCGGAACTTGATACCCACAAAGGCATACAGCAGTGGGTTGAGGCAGCAGTGCAGATAGCCCAGGCCTGAGGTGACTGACTTGGCCACGTCAACACGACTTTCTTGTTCACAGTTGCGGGCTAAGGCTCCTAGATCCATCAGGGTGTCCACCAGGACCACCAGGTGGTAGGGAGTCCAGCAGAGGGCAAAGGCTACCACTACTACCACCACTAGCCGCATGGCTCGCAGCCGCCGTTGACCCCTGGAGACCAGCAGCACAGCCAGGATCCGGGCATAGCAGTAGGCCATGACCAGCAGCGGCAGCAGAAAACCAGCGACCAGCTGCAGCATTCGAAGAGCTGTGCGGCCCAGTTGAGGGAAGTTGTGCCGGCAGTGGGTAGCATTGAGGCGCTCGTCATGGTGGGCTGATAGGAAAATCAGATCCGGGAGGGCCAAGAGCAGACAGAGCCCCCAGACTATGACACAGGTGAGGGTCACACGAACTGGCGGGCCCCGGCGGTAGAGTTGGGTGGCATGCACAATGCTCAGGTAGCGGTCAAAGCTGATGCAGGCCAACAGGAGGGCCCCTGCATAGAAGTTGATGTTGAAGAGGGCACCTGCCACTTTGCAGAGGCCAGAGCCAAAGACCCACTGGACAGCAGCATCCACTGCCCAGAGCGGGAGAGTCAGCACCAGCAGTACATCAGCCACAGCCAGGTGCAGCAGGAAGGTGTCGGTACTGCTTAGGGACTCCCGTTGGCTCAGAAGTACAGCTGCCACCGCACCATTGCCCAGCAGCCCCAGCAGAAAGAGGAGGCCATCAAGGGCGGGCAGGAAGGCCCGGTTAAAGCTCTGGGTTGAATCCTGTAGGCAGGGTGGCAAGGCACAGCAGACATCTGTCTCATTGTCTCCAAAGTCATAGGAAGAGCTATAGTTTTCTTGGAGGAAGGGCCAATCCGAGGCTTCTAGCACCACTTGGTATTTGCTCATCTGTGGAGGGAGGAAGGGACTGTGTACAGGTCTGTGCAGTGGCTCCTTCACTCCTTAGTCTAAGGAATGGTTTTGGAGGGGAGCTCCTCTGGAGGGGAGGACTAAACCATCCACCCCTTTCTTCGGTCCAACCCCCAGTGGCCCCCACAGGGCTCTGCAATGCTTCTCAAAGTTGCAATGCGTCTTTTTCACTTTTCTAGGCTGCGTAGTGATGCAGGGACTCCCCTGTGTGCAGACTTCTTCCTGCACTTTCTCTCCCTGCTCTTCCTTTATTGTTTGCTGGCCTCAGTGCGCTGGCCACTGCCCATTTCAGTCAGCCAGCTGCCTCCTCTTCAGCCCTTGTCTAGGGACCTTAACTTCCGGCCTCCCATGGGGGCCTCCCTACAAATCACTGCTGTTCCCAAACACAGGACTCTTGCCAGTCCCGCACTCTGAGGCCTGCCCAGTAGGGGCTCCCCCCTCCCAGCCCTAGTAGAAATAGCCTTTATCCCAGAACTGCAGGCCTCCCCAGTGACAATTTAATGTAGCATTTAAAACGTCAGAACTGAAGGGGGCCTTATAGGTCATTGAGGTTAAGCCTGTACCCTCTGTGTGCTGGTAGCTGAGGCACCAAAGCCAGAGAGAGGAGAAAACATACCCGTAGTCATACGGCAAGTCAGTGGCCAACCTGGTTTTCCAATTCCCCATCCAGTGCTTCTTCCACCTCCAGTTCTGCAACTTCTGCCTACTCACCCAACCTGGCTTGTGGGTCAGCCTGAATGCTTCTCTGGGGGCTTGAGCTCACTTTTGTTTTTGTTTTTTAACATTTTATTAGGGGCTCCTACAACTGTTATCCCAATCCATACACACATCAATTGTGTAAAGCGCATTTGTACATCGTTTCTCAAAACATTTTCTCTCCATTGAAACCCCCGACATTAGGTCCTCATTTTCCCCCTCCCTCCCCGCTCCCCCCTCCCGCATGAGCCCCTGATAGTTTATAAATGGGTACTTTGTCATCTCTTGCCCTGTCCGACGTCTCCCTTCATCCACTTTTCGGTTGTCTGTCCCCCAGGGAGGAGGTCACACACAGTTCCATGTAATCGGTTCCCTCTTTCCTACCCATTCTCCCTTTACCCTCCCTGTTGAGCTCACTTTCTCAGGCATGGCCCGGCCAGGCTACACGGTGGCACTTACCTCAGGGACCATGGCTGGGCCGGTGCTCAGGCAGTCTGGATGCTTGTGGTCGGGAACCTGTGCTGCACAGAGGAAGTGATGGTTTCACGCGGTTCACAGCAGCAGCCTCTGCCCTCCGCCAGGCCTACTGAGACTCAAGGCCACCAAGGCCCTCCTGCCTGTCACTGCCCTGGCTGAGGGAAGCTGCTTTAGAGAAAGTGGCAACAGGTCTGGGGCCCGCAAGTCTTGGCCCTGTGGAAGAGCCGGGGGGTTGGGTTGTGGAAAGTTCTCCGCTGGAAGGGAAGACTTACTCTGCCAGGGGCCACCCTGACTTCTGCATGAGTTTGGCCGGTGCTCAAGAAATTAGAATTGGCGCTTATCTTCATGGCAGTGGGCTTGGGATTTGGGGGGCCTGGACTGGGCTTGAGCTTGATATGACCATAAAGACTGGATTTTAAATAGGTTACATCTGGAAATGACGGGAACTGACTTAAAACAATGAAAATATTTGAAAAGAATCTATCACTTCAAGTCTCAGTCGTTCTCATCAGCTCTCCATTAATCCACCAAACCCAAACCAAGCTCTGTGCCATGGAGTCAACGCACTGTTTATGGGAGTAGAGAGTGGAGCTGCTGGTGGTTTTGAACTGCCAACCATGCGGATCGCAGCCCGGCGCAGAGCCACAACACCACCAAGGCTCCTCCACTAACTGATAAGAGCAAGGAAAGAACTGGCTGTGCTCAGTGCCATTTTAGGGATCTTTCAGACACTGCCTCACTCTGCTCTCTCAATTCCTCTGTAGTGTTGGTGAAACAGACGCAGAAAGGGGAAAACAGGCTTTCACCACCCACAGCACATATGGGCGGGCACTAAGGCTCAACCCATGCCAGTCTGACTCTCCCTTCACCATGCATTACACTGACTTCAGTTCGTTCCTAATGGACGAACTGTGGTATATTCTTATGGCTGAAAACAAATCAACTCAAGCGACAGAATTTAATATGGTTTTGTCTTGAAAGCTGATGACTTCATGGTGGATGGGAGGGAAGAAGTCACAGAATACTGTGTAGTTTGCCACCGCTTATGTAAATCCTAAACACCACACACAAAACCAGTGCCACATTGTTTGGGATACATATATTCACCAGGTAGTTTAAAAACAAGGACTGGAGACATAGTTAAGAGAGTAGTTGCTCTCAAGAAGCAAGAAGATGGGGAATGAGTTTGGAAGGAAGTATGTAGGGGGCTCACAATTTTTAGGAAAAGCTATAAAACAGCATCTTTCCATTATATTAGTAACAGTGACAACTAAGTGGTGTAACCATTCCTCTTTCCTGCCCCCAGTTGAGAAGTGTGCGCATGGGAACCCATGGCCTTGGGGTTCAGGCTGCTGTCAGGTGCTTCACCGAAGCTTCCCAGGCTTGTATCTGGAAGTGAGTCTTAACTAATTGGCAAGATGTGCGCTTGGGAGACCTCAGGGCCTCTTTCTTTTCGTAGGCTGTACACAGAAGAGGTGACCATCCTTGCTCTGAAACCATTTACTACCTGCTGGATCCAGACTGGAGGGAACTGAGGCCTGGGAGAGGTCAGGAGCTGTGCATGTGAGAAGATGGGTGGGTTCCTGAAGCCATGTCAGTTAGGATAGTAGGGCATAGCAAGCGCCTGTTGCCTGTGAGCGTGAAGAAGAGGGAGGGAACTATGGTTTACCGATGCTGAGCTGCAAAGAGATTGAATTTCATCAGGCTTCTAAAAATGAGAAAAAGCAGGACAACAAAAAGTTAATGTGGAGTCTGTGCCAATAAAACTGTTTTGAAAAAAATAAAAGGACACTAAGATTAAAACAATACAAAAATGACCCTTTATGAAATAATAGTAAGAATAGATGGTAGTACTGAAAATATCTCATATTGACAGAAGTTGGCAATCTAATCTGGGTCCTCCAAATGTTGAAATATAAGGAGCCTTAGTGCTGCAAGCAGTTTTCCATTGACTGATAACCTATAGGTCAGGGGTTCGAACCTACTTAGTGGTTCTGAGGAAGAAAGGTCTGGTGATCTGTTTTCCTAAAGATTATAGCCAAGAAAATCCTATAGAATAGTTCTGCTCTGTAACACACAAGATTGCCATGAGTTGGGAGCCAACTTGACAGCTACAATAACGTGGAATATGAGGGTTTTTTTTTAACTTTGTGGGAAAATTCCATTATCTTTTAATTCTGCTCTTCCTTGAACTTTCTGACATACCCATTCACAAAGTCTAGGAATCCCTAATACTCTTCCTGTGCCCCAACCCCTTGTTACATCGGTATAATAAACATGAGACGTTCATGGCAAGGGCTTTGGAAAGGTGCAAAGAGTTTTCCTTTCAGAGTGGCATGTGACCTGATGGGCCAGCCTGGGCTGTGGGTCTGGGTTGTCTTCACTTGATGTTGTTCTGAAGCGCAGCGGAAAGAACACTCAACAGCTCTGGGCTCCAACCCTGATGCCATCCTATTTAAGCTGTGTGACCTTGGACAAATTCCACAACCTTTTGTGAACAGGTTTTCTCAACATAATTTTTACGAGATGAAGATAATCAAGGCTATAAGTACAGGATGTGGCCCTTAGTTGAGATTGTTAAGTAAGCAGGATATTCACTGTAACCCTAAAGTCACTGGGAGCCTCTCATTGCAGCCACACCTAAGGCAGAGTATAATGATGAGAGGAGGTGTAGGCTTGGCCTGAACCCTTGTCTTCCAGGAAAACTACCCTTTGGATTAGCTGGGAGGGTTTGACCAGTCCTAGCCTATTCCATCTGCTGACTGCCTAGTTGTGTGATCTTGCACAAATCATTTCATAAGGATAATAAGCATTTGATAGGCTTGCTCAGTGACTCTAGGCACAAGGATTTGGGGAAGGGCCCCAGTGAGCAGCAGAATGGCAGTTGCGCAGCAGGATTCACAGATAAGCCATCTGGAAGATTCTGAGGCTGAGCCATGCTCTCTAATTCGGTCCTCATCAGTCCAAAGCAGCCCCTAGACCTGGTCAGGGGGCTGCAATCTGGGTTCTGCCAGCTGCTCCTTCCTGTTGTGCCCTCCGGAGCAGCCAGCAGGAGAAGCTTAAAGAGGAAGTTAGAGTGAAGTTGCTCTGGGCCCCACCTGTGGTCAAGGTGTGAAATGTGCACCTGGCTGGGCCCTGCCACACCTCCCCCTGTTTTTCTTTCTTTCTTTCACACCTCTGGGCTGTGGTTTGGGGAGACAAGGAGACTCGAAGGTCTGAGCCCTGGGCCCAGTCCTTTACAGGAAGGAGGGCCCCTACCAGGTTGGCCAGGGAAGGGGGCCATTTCCTCCACCTTCTCTACCGTGTCTTTTGCATCACAGCATCTCTTAGAGCTCCTTAGAACTCTGCTTCTAAAAGTCCCTGGATCCAGGGTCCTGGTCCTATTTCATTAGAGCAGCAGGCGCAGACCAGCCAGAAGTTCCTGCGAGGGACAAGAAGTTGGTAGGCTGGGACTGAGACGTTACATGAAATTCTGGAGAGTTCTATTCCTGCGCAGGGGAGAGGGTCTGCACCAGATGGGGCTTCGTACTTCTGGTCCTAAAATTCACAAGGAAAGACGTGCTCGAGGTGCAGGGAGGCTCAGGAACTGGGCACTGCCCCTCTCTGTCTCTCTTCCTGCAACTCTGGGGCCCTACTGGGAGATAAGGCCTTCTAAGGGCTGGGCTGAAGGCTAAGTTCTAAGGAGCCCAGTAGATTGGGAGGCATTCTAGTTCATGAGAGTGAATTCACACAGCTATGGGGGTACTCACTCTCTGGGGCCAAGGACAACCTCAAAGAGGAGGTGAAGTTTGAACCTGGGTCTTCAAAAATGTTGCCCCAGGTTGCCGGATGCCAAAGGGGAGACAAGGCAGTGGGGGCGGTGGGAACAGGAGCCAAGGCAAGGACATGAGGAAGGCACTTGTGAGGTCAGGAGGGTAGATGAAGCCAGAGAGTAGCTCAGAAACGAAGCCCACCACCAAACACCAGTGCCAAGACTGGGACCTTCCCGCTATCCTGTTCTAAGCAGTGCCTAGGAACTGTTAAGTAAAAATAGCTTCCATTTATCAAGCTCTTACTTTCATCCGCATACCTCTTCTGAATCTTTTGACTACTTGGTGAGTCAGAAATGACTGTACCCATTCTGTGGAATGGAAATAGACATTCAGAGAGATGAAGTGAACTCTATAAAGCTAGCCAGCCAGCCAGCCAGCCAGCCAGCAGGATTTAGAACAAGATTCCTATCCAGGTTATATTTTAACATGCTATGTTAATTGCTTGGGCCGGAGAGCCATGCAAACTCCTGAACATACATCTGCTGCCCAAGAATTTTTTCCTTCAGGACCATATCTTTTTCCCACATGACCCCCACCCCCACAAATGTCTGTTGGCTAGTGAGAGCAGATGGTAATCTGGTTGAACCTGTGCAGTAGAGAGAGCTTTGGTAATCTTTGTTTCATCCTGCTCTTCTTGCCCTGGTCCTTGCCCTACCAGACCCACAGCCACTGAGTTGATTCTGATCACAGTGACCCTATAGGACAGAGTGGAACTGTTCCTCAAGTTTCCAAGGCTGTAGGTGTTTTGTTTTTCATTTTAGACATAAGCAAACAGCCCCATCTTTCTCCTGTGGAGTGACTGGTAGGTAGAGCTGCTGATATTGCAGTTAGCCACTCAGTGCTTAATTCACTTTGCTACTAGAGTACCTTTCCTGCCTACCAGGGAGAAGGACTGTTGGCATCTCTGGGATGAGGGGCCCAGGAGACCGAATAAATACCTGCTGAGTATATGGTGCTCCTAGATATCACCACCCTATCCAAGGCCAACTCCTGAAGGACTGGCTGGGAAAATTCATCACCTCCTGAGGGAGCATGCCTCTGGTCCCATGCTGCCCTTTACTTGACGCTACCTTAGCACAAGCCTGTGCATGCTCTCTTGACGGGCAGATGACAGCATGGCCACTGGGCAGTCATTGGATTACAGAGACTTGACCTCTGGATGGAATTGATGAATTCCTGAGGCCTGTCTCCCTGTGC